TTTTAGCAGGTCGTATTGGGTAGTACTTTGTACTCTTGGTGAGTTTTTATTAGACTAGAACATTTTGCTATAGAGATCAAAGATACTTTGGCACTTATTGTATCACATAGTAGTTCAAATAAATAAAAACAGGATCGCTTAAAAAAAAAAAAAAAAAGATGTTTATGGAATAGATATATAAAAAATAGGTTTACAGCAAAAAATGTGAATAAAAGGATTTATAACAAAAGGAGAATGCTTGTAATGAAATAAACGCTTAAATTATATATGATAAAAAATCGGCAGTAAGTCCCATAAATGAAAAAAACAAAAAAAGGGTTATATAACAAAAAAATGTTTTTATAGCAAAAAAGTGAATATTTATATGAAAAAATCAAAAAAAACTGTTCACAATCAAGAAATGATTAATAACGAAAAGAAGAATTCCCACAAATGAAATAAATATTTAATATTGAATATAATGAACTGGCAGTAGAACAAAGTGAGATACTCAAAATTTAACTTGACATTAGATAATGCAAATAATTATGGTATATGTTCATATATTTTGTGATAGATTAATAGTTAGAGGTTTATAAGTCTTGTGGATAAAGAAAGAAATGACGATTGATTGATAATGTGCTTTAATAGTTTTACAAGGGTTATGGATGAATATAAGATGTGGAAAAGAAATCATTTGAATGGCTAATAGATGAAATGATATGGTATTTTGAAATAGATTAATTAAAAGATTATTATATGAGAAGGAAGGATGTAAAAATAATTAATCGATGAATATATTTTGGAAAACTTCGGTAGTTTCGTAAGGGTGAACATTATAAAGATTTGTAGTTTCGAAAAAGGATGAATCATTTGAATTATTAGTACTTTGAGATAGGTCAATAGTTAAAGGATCATTATTTTGCATTGATCCTTTGTGAACGAATAGAAGCGAAATGATTGTTCATTAATTCTATAAACGTAAATATTGGGAGAAGCAATATTATTATTATAAGGATCTGGAGTTTTTAAAGAGAAAAAATTATTTGAATAACTAATAAAGAGTGGTGTAATATAGTTAATGATTAATGTATCATTATTTTGTGCTAGTTCTTCATGAACGAAAAGGAAAGCATTTTGTGATGCTTCAACAGCTCCGCAGGGATGGATGTTGAGAGAAGAGAAATTGTTAAAATGGCTAGTAGAGGATAATGTGATATTTTGATATCAATTAATAATTAAAAGGTCATTATCTTGCGCTGGTCCTTCAGGGAACATATTTGGGAATGTTTTGGTAGCTTTGTATGAGTAGATATTGTGAGGAGTTTCAACAAAAGAGGTTTCGTTTAAATGACTAGTAGAGGATAACATAATATTTTGATATGGATTAGTGATTAAAAAATCGTTATTTTGTGCTTTGGTTGTTCTAAGAAAAGGCTCATAAGAATTAATTGACATAGTATTTTGATCATCTGGCATTTGTTCTTGGCCAATGAATGACACAACAGTTTCTAAAGAGTAGGAAGCTTCTGTAGCTCCAGGAGACCTAGACTTTCTCCCGCGTTTTTTAGATAGGGTATTTTCACACTGGAGCTATTGCTTCTATAGTACGTATAGGCATCATTGATATCTCCTTTGGGTTTTATACACCTTTGGTGTCTTATTTGACAATTTTTACATGCTTGAGTTGCATTAGTACATAATCTTTGTGGTTTATTTGATTGAGACATTTAAGAGCAATCTGACAACAACGGTAATACTAGGTAAAAAATAAATATTGTACTATGAATACGGTCCTGGTCATAAAAAATAAAGTGCTATTCAAAGGGCGTTTTTGGCTTTTTGTAGAATTTATATTCAGAATTATTTATATATTTCTTTTTTTTTTTGTTCTTGATTAAAAAATTTTAAAATAGTTTATATAAAAATAATCGACAACTAATTGAATGTTCGTGATAACCATAATTATAATCATATAAGACATAAAAATAATCAACAACTAATTTGAGTGTTCGTAATAACTATAGTGATAAAACATGATATAAAAATAATCGACAGAGTGTTCATAATAACCATGATTATTATAACTATATAAGACATAAAAATAATTGACCTAATTTGAGTGTTCATAATAACTAGGAATTGGAACTGGCCAAAAATTTTATTAATCGTTTAACTGTTTAATTTGACCGGCATTAAAATAATTCCGGCCCACAACCAACATAATTCTGCCCAAAGCTATAGTGCAATTTTTAAACGGTTAAATGGCTCCAATCCCTAGTACTAGTACTAGTGATAACCAAATCGTTGAGTCTTCGTGATAACCATGATTATAACTATATAAGGTAAATATTGCAATTATAAAAATCTTCTCATCTTATTCAAAACAGTATATTTAATTATATAATATGTATATAATAAAATCGGTCAATAAATAATAAAATTTGTATTGCATTGTACATCATAAGAGATCACGATTTTATGTTTCAGTTACTTTAGAATCATGAGATACAAGATTTTTGAAGTAATAATTGAATTTTTTTATTAGAATTTATTTAATTATCACCACAAGTTCAAATGTATAGAATGCATTTATATCTAAATTCAAATTATTTAACATTAATACATGTATAAAGCTCCAAATTTGAATTTTGTACTACTAGTAAAAGGTATTTTGTTACATTCACTCCAAGTTTTTGGAAGCTTTTTTGCTCATTCAAAATCTTTACTGCCATCTATCATTTTTTGAAAAATTTGTTTACACCTCATGAGATTTTTTGTACTTTTAAAATTTCAGATTCGGATTCGCTATCTTCAGTACTCGATTCTTCATTATCTATATTTTGGTTTTTTGAATTACCAAATTGATTGTTAAATTGGCTCATATGTAATTGATTAAGGTTGATATTCGAATATTTTCCCATAAAGTTTTTTAGCTTCCGTAATAAAAGGATATTGAGTATTCATTGTATCTAAATTAATATAATATTAAATTAAAAATTTTTAAACAATAGTATGTATAATGACAAAGAACTTGTATAATCTTCTTTCTAATTTATTATATCTTGACGTTGATAATCTCATAATTAACAATATATTCTTATTGGTCGATTAATCTATCTACAGTAAAGCGATTTATATTTCTATTGGCTAAATTTTTTTAAAAAAAATTAAAAATACCAATTTTGGATTTTTAGACCTGGCTAGACTAAGAAAATCAAGGAATTAATTTTGCATGGCTCAATGTTTACAATTACTAAAAAAATTCTTTGAATGCTTTTAATAAATAAATCTGTAAATAAATAAATAAATATTGAATTATTTCTCTTATTTCTCTTAAATCGTAATTTTGTAAGTTTTATATTAATTAATAATAATCAGAAGATTCTAATTACTATATAAAAATATACAATATGAAAATTTTGCTTGCAGAAGAAAGGCTATAAGATGTCTAATTAAGTTTTTGAATAAATCAAAAAACCTAAATTTTGCATTAACACTTGGCGAAGCTGCATACATGTGCTACTAATTAAAGAACATACATGGTATTAATCGATTATAACAGGGTTTTGATAGGATCTATTTGGGAGGGCTTAATTTTAAACCCTAGCTATGATATAAACTTTTCATATAAAGATTTGTACTGAGGATTTAGAGGGAAAGGTTGTGCATACCAATTTTGGTTATGTTCAATTAACTTAATGTGGCTATCATGCCATTGAAGAATAATAGGTTTTTTGCAAAAACTAGGCTCTTGGTAGCATGGTGGACAATCATGGTAGTACAAACTTCCAAACTTGAAATTTGTGACTCAGGACCGATCTGTCCAATAAAAGTACAGGGATGATCGATC